AAGCTCAGCAAGTCTGAGAATTATTTATTGAAAGATTGAGGTACATGCAGTTAGTGTGAATAAGCTTGCTGTAGCTCTTTACAGCAGTAATATACACTGGATGTGAAGTGTATAACTATGACATGGACAGGGTTACTAAATCGTTATTCTGATTGGCATCTATAGCTTTCCATCTGGAAATGGTGTTCCCAAATGTCAAGGAATTGATTAAATTCCATTGTCCTCCCTGTTTGGTTTAGACTATGAGGCTTGTAATAAACCTCCTTGGTCTGGAGTATATCTGCACATGTTGTGTTCAGCTTAAATGGCATAACTGTTTCCTTTACCTTACTAGAATGAGCTGTGTGCTCAGTGGCTGTCAAAGGCTTGGCTGAAGAAAATGAGGAAAGAATAGATAAAAAATACACACAAAAAAAACAGAAGTGCCTACTCCCTGTTTTCTTTCTGTCAATCATGTTTGGGGCTTTCTTTGAGTGTGTGCTTTGCAGACAAGGCGCAAGACTACTCCCTGACGTTGGTTTGCACCATAAACCAAAAACCTGGCACCCCGTCATTAGGCTATACCGTACTGGCTCTTTGTATGGATGTAGAGATCCTGTCGAATACACTGTATGTTAAATATTGTCTTAATTTCACTGAGAATGTTTGTTGACTTCAGCAGAGCACACTTGTGAACCTGGAATGGATCGTTTAAAGGACTCTGATCAATGTTATAAATCAGTGGGATTTAAACACACATCTGTGTCCAGAGAAATCTTTTCTTCGGCTTTATTTTCATATCCAAGCATTTTGATGAGAAAAACTGAATTCTCATTAAGACAATTTTCAAATAGTATACAAATGGAAGGCTTAAAAAAAAAAAAAAAGTGCCGTTCCTCTCAACACTAACAGCTCACTATATACAAGAAACGCATCCACTGTCATTGTTCAGTGTTTTAACGTAGGTTCAGTGGTCTGTACGAGTAAGATGACAAGTAATTAAAACAAAGACTTGCTTTTTCCATCAGCACCTACGGTATGTAAGTGTTCAATAAAGCTGTGAAGTCATTATTTCTGTTTAAAAAAACAAAAAAAAAAAAAAGCTGTTCTCATCTTTCTGGCCTCTTTAATCATCTTGAAATTACAATGTCAGAAAAAGAAAGTGTTCTAAAAAATCTGGTTGGATTAAAATACATAAAAATCATGTTTAAACAACGAAACATTTTGATGGGTATAATTTCTGTGGAAACTGAATCCAGAAACAAATTCTTTGCTTGTGTACAGTCCACCTTTACGGGCATTTTAATAAAGCCATGCCTCTGCTTTGAACAGCTCGTGTGAGTAGCTGCAGGTACATAAATTAATGAATATAAACTAACGGAGAAGTTTACACTGCCTCCCTGACTATCCCTCACACTCGTCATCCTCCGCTGCTGTATAGATCACCTGGTTTCTGCGTTTGATTCTTGGAGTTGGGCCTCTGCTGCCAGCGTCCCCACTCTCAATGCTGGTTCGTTTTAGGATGCGCGCAGCTGTGACGTCCTCATCGTCGCCGCTGCCCTGTCCTGCCCCGTCTGCTCCAAACTGAGCGTGAGCTGGGGTAGAGTGGGAAGGAGGTGGCAGGTTCATGAGGTCGGGCAGAGGAAGGGGTGAGACGCTGCATTTGGGCTCGGGTAGAACCATACGGCTGGGTGTGTGGATTTCACCTGCTTTCGCGTCAAAAAGCTCGTCTGCTTTCACCTCTGCTTTCAGCTCCTCCTCCTCCTCCTCCCACTCGTCTTCTATGGTGATCTCATCTGGATTAAATGAACCTGACAATCCTGAAGTATCGGTTGGATACTCGCTGGGCTCGTCAGTACTTCCCAAACTATCTTCATCTTCGTCATCCTCTCCTCCTGTACTGCCCTGAACTCTCGCCACCTCATCTTCTCCCCGCCCGACCTGTGCATAGATGTCTGTGAGACCCAACTTGGCGCAAAGCTCGGTCGTCTGAGGGTTGGTGTTGTAGCTCGGGGTAGCCTGACGATGGGGCTTGTTGGGGTTGTAGGATGGCACCGTTGGACTGAAGTTGTCTGGAATGCCAAGCTCCCCGCTCAGATCCTCCACCACCTGCATCATAGCGGCTTCTGAAGCGCTGAAGTCCCACCTGATGGGTGTATGCAATCCAACATTATAAAAGAAAGTATTAACAAAAACCGCTCAGTCATAATGACCTTTGCTTCAAGCAACTGAAGCAATAACTTGGCAGCTCATTATTAGGCTCCACTATACCGTCTCCCAGTATGGATGCAAATACACTATGTAAAGTATTGTTTTGGCTTCACTGAAAACGTGCGTTGAGCTGATTTAAGCAAATATTGGTGTCCTGAGAAATCTTTCCTTCTGCTTTATTTTCATTATGTAAAATGTATTTTATGAATAAGCAGTGTGACACACTTCAAATTGCTCCCCACTCAGTTCTGCTTGCTGGCTTTGGGAAGAAGGAAAAGAATGAAAACCCACAGCTGAAGCAGTGAGTTTCATACTTCCTCTCTAACTTGCACAGGTCTAACTAGCTACACCAGCAACTTCATTCTTGGTCTGTCTTGACATTGTAGACAGCTGAGTAGTTTAAAAAAAAATTCCAGTGACTAGCTCTAGTGCTCCTATTGGTTATTAGCATTTTTAATGCGCTTCAAAAAAAAAAAGTGGCATTAATTTGTGGAGAACATGCTGCCAAACAAAACATGCAAATATCAAACTTGTTTTTCCCCATAGAGCTTATTTTTGTTGCTTATTTCACCAAGGCAACACAGGTGGTGAAAACATCCTACACAAAAAGGCCTTCCCTGAGCTCGAGTTTCCTTTTACACCTAGAGCTCAGGGAAGTTACAATGCAAAGCTTGTTTTAAGTGCAAGATCCTCTCTTCCAGAGTGACCTTTCCCCTGTTGCATGACACTGGCTCTTTGTTCAAGCTAATGTTTTAGTTCTGGGAGACTGAAATCATGCATGCACAAGCTAACTCTGCTTTTACAGGCCTTGTTACTTTTATGTCTATACGTGTGTACCGTTCATGCAAGCCATTATTCTCTGGGGGGTTCCAGGGGTGAGGAGTGGTCCTCTGTAGAGTGTTGGTAGCCTTGAGAATAGCAAGCCACTCTGGATCATACTCAAGACCCTCAGATGAACCTGGTCTTTCTGGAATATCCACAATCTGAAAAAACAAAAGGTGTTAGCTCACACACTTTAACCCAGACTCTGATCCTAATATATCAACTAAAAAAAAAAAAAAAAAAAAAAAAAAGAGTTGTCCCACCTGTAAGAATTCCCTGTGGGGCAAACATTTATCCAGAGACAGGAATTTGGTTACGCGTGGTGCACTTTTACCTTTAGGCTGAAAATAAGAAATCACCGTAATGATGGTTAGAACGATTTAAACCTTATTAGCAGCAGTAATTCTAACTGAACAACTGTCACTCTCACCGGATGCTGCATAATGGCAGCAAATTTCACATGAAGATGTGCAGAGAACCAATAGTTAGGCTGGAGGTGAGCTAGGAGCTCCTCTGCAGCAGGACTTCCCAGAGAGTTTGACTCCACCTCTTGACGAAGGAATTTCTTCTTTCGTAACAGCTCCTTCGTGCTGCCATAGTAGTAGATTCCACGAGGCCAGTCGTGGCTCATGAAAATGTCCATGGGCATCTGGATCTTAGCAGAAATAATCATGTAAAATTAACATTGTATATTTAGCTACAGAAGTGGACAAACATTTAGAGTTGTGTGGAAGAACTTGCGAGATTTACCTGTTTTAATTTGAAAACCTCGATATTTCTGATGTGGTATGCACTTCGAAGTGTTTCAGGATTATATGGAGGGAATTCATGGTGGCCTTAAAATGAAAACATTCCATGTAAATATGATGCATAGCAGTGGAGCCTCAACTATTTGAAAAGCTAAACAAACAAAAACAAATACCCTTCCTGTAGTCACGTGATTTGAAAATGCCAGATAAGCCACCAATTCTGATCCCTTTGTAGCGAATAACACCAGCATAACCTGGAGACAGGTGATTATATAGGTCAGGCTTGTGGCGAGTCAGACAAGCTGGCAAACAAATTTGGAATCAGTCAGTCTCTACCTAGATAATAAATGTTTGGTGCCACCCAGCCGCCATAAGGGAGCTCTTGCAGGTGATTGGAAGCCTCGTGGTTTCCTCCAATGAAAATGGTAAACACCGGAGCCTTCTTCTCCCCAGAATAATACCTGCAACACAGACAATAATAAAGTTTTAAATATCCTTACTCGTGTCTTTGATTTAAAAACCAAACAAAAACACAACATAAACAAAGAACTTACTTGTAAAAGGTCTGCATGGTTCTGTACTTGGCTGGCACTGCCATGCACTTCAAGTCTCCCTCATTTCGCACTGCCTGGAAGTCTCCACAACAAAGCAGCAGGTCCACCTTCACCCCTTCCTTCTGCTCCAGATACTCAATTGTCTCATAAATCTTGTCCAGCTCCCCATGGCAACAGCCTTCTACTGCAATTTTCATCCTGTGCAAACAGGTGATCTGACAACGTGCAGAGAAATTCACATTCACACTAAAGGATGGCTTCTGTTCTCATCTAAACACCATTAGCCTCTGTGGACACAGTCAAGCCGAGGTCCACGGCCTCCTAAAAGATGATTTGGCAATCTGTGAAGACATACAATGGTGATGATGATTACTTTCACTTAACACACAATTTCGCTAAAGTCTAGTTCTAATATACATTTCAGTGGGGTAAATTTTATTTTTCCACATCTTCTTGGATCATAGTTTTAGTTGCCTTTTAATCACACAGTGGAAAGGGACTTTAATAAGCTACAATACGGTCTTGGATGATCTTAAACAGTGCTAATGAATTACCATGTGACTAAAGCTATCCAGGAGCAATCGGGTAGACACCCGTTTAATTTTAGCGTATGAGCAGAGCTCCTGTTGGACTGTCATGTTTCATTTAGCTAGAAACAATAAATTAAACGAAAGGTATGCGAACTGAAGATGACCCTAGCACCTTTTTTAAAACATTAAAGACTCTACAATGCACGCTGCACCGGCGGGTAGCCCTTGAATACGTGCAGTAAGTAGTGCACGATGCTTTTTATTTTTATTTTTATTTTTTTAATCTGACAAATGTGTCCCATGCTGCTTTAAAGTATTCTCTACTTCGTATCCTCACACTCAAGCAGGGTAGCTACTAGAAGCTCAGGTCCTACGATACAACACGCAACAGCTAGCTAGGCTACGTAATTAAGCGAAACAACTCGACAGCGTATATGGAGGAAATTTGTTATATAAGAGCAAAGTGAACGAGCTGAGTACTTACAGATGGGGTGTAATTAACGAGTATTTTGAACCGGTTTATAGTCCATAAAGTTGCAAACTTGTGCAAAAAAACATGCTTATGTTTGTGGAAGAAACGAATAGAATGGATGTTCCCACCTCGCCTCTACCAATATGAGCGCATGCGCAATTCTTCATCAAATTCTAGTGACTAGCAGTAGATTCCATTATAAATGTGTAGAATTATATTACTATACTTGTTGCTAAGTCTTGATGTAAAAATATATTGTATTTTAAAAATTTGCGTTTTTAAATTTATTCCTTAATCTGATGCATAGTTCGCACGACTCAACCTATTGTGTCGAATCAAATTCAAGCAGACAGCAACTACGTCACGTTTATAAACAATATTTACTTTATTGACAAGTCCACGGTCTGTCAGAGAGCTCGCTAAGTTAGCGGTGTTGGTTTTTGTTGCATATCTGCTACGGGACATCACAGCTGAGCCTACGGAAGAATATAGGGGCCTGTTTTAGAAATAACGCTAGCAAAGAGTTGTCTGATTAGGCTACATTTACTTTTTAAAGGCCCCTCAAAGCTGCTCTGGGGGGTGGAGTGTCTCCAGACTGCTGCGCCGATTGGGGCGCTCCATCGGAGGAAGAGAGATGGCGTGCTTATTGGAGGCCCCACTCCGCATCAGTGTGCTGTCTGTGAGTGCCAGTCTTTATAATTTCAACTAGCATTGTCAGGTTATAGAATGCAAACGGCAACTGCGAGTAGCTGATTTTGTTTGGTCATCTAGAAGCTCTCAAGTATAAAGGTTTTTTCTGTTAGCCATAAAGCTAAGTTAAAGGCATTGCAACATGTAGCGGTCCGCCTACGTAGCTGTTGTAGAGAATGATTTTCTTCCTTGCGTTGCCCGGGCGGGCGGGAACCTTCCGAACACAATAAAGAGAATACATGCGAGCTGTGCCCGCTCGCCCCGTCGTTGTAACCTAAAACAAAATTGAGCGAACAAACTAGCTGTCAGTGTTACTCGGAATGAGTTAGCAGCTAATTGCTAAGAGTACCAGTGCTGTCACCAGTTTTGCAGTAGTCAAAACACGTTTATAGAATGCATCATGCACATTGGATAAAAAGTTGTAGGAATGAGATTTTTATTCAAACCACTCAGTATTATTTGATTTTAAGTTATGCGCCGTCTTAATTGCAATAGCAAACTTAACATTGTAAACCTAGCTAACGTTAGGTGCTCCTGCAAGTAACATTAGCAACTGTAGCATACGGTTAAGCTAGCGAAGCAAACTTCGCTAACTCACTGGTTTCCTTACTCTTGAGGGTTTTTTTTATATGTAGTGTGTTGGCAGTCAGAGCTGTAGTAATTGGTAAGACTCCGGGATTTACTCTAGCAAGTGACACTCACTGCCAACTGTAACTTGGCTAATATAACGCAAAATGTTCCACGAAAAAGCGCATAAGGAGCCCCCGTGAAACGCCCCCCATGGTAGGTGTATGCAGAAAGGAGGCAGTGTGATTGAAGATATCATGGTAACTGATACTTTAGCATCTCAGCTTCACTCTTTTTTAAAAAACAAAACAAAAAACGAGTTGATCCGTTATTGTGTATACATACATAATGCTGTATACTTGTGAAATGAATGTTTGCCACAGTGGCTGTCTGAATGAGAGGTACACAGGTACAGAACGTGTTGGGACACCTTGTGAGCTACGTGCTGGCATCAAAGTGTGACTCCGTTGGCAGCTGGAGGACGTTGACTTCTGCGGAAAGTTCTGGTCAAAGCTGCCAGTGATATAAACAAAGTTTTCTGGTGTCGCAGTGTCAAAAAGCTTTTAAAGGCTCCTGCCGTGGAGGCTGCTGTATTTTTCCTGTGTGTAACACAAAAGGTGTTATTTTAGTTGTAAAAAAAATAACAATTTAAAACTGCCCTTTTTATGTATAATTAATTATTGTTTATTTAATGGTTAATAATTGTTCAGTTAGAAACCAAATTCCGTAGGCTTTTACTCTGCTGAAATATGTGCACTTTGTCAGTTGTCAGATGTGGAGGACAGCATTTGATAGTGTAGAGAAAAAATACTGTACAAGGTAAATCCAGGGTCAAGTCAGTGATTTCTAAAAGTCATGTTTGTGTTTTTGTTTTGTTTTTTGTTCTAATGCAGGAAGTCACCGCCACTAGTCGCCATTATGTTGACAGACTGTTTGACCCCGACCCACAGAAAGTGCTTCAGGGAGTCATGTAAGTGTGGGTCTGATCGCGTATGATATATACACATGTATATCAAGGTGTTTCCTGTGTCAGAATAGTACTTATGTGAATACACACAAAAATACTGTCGCGCATTATGTAGGCAAGGCAAGAAGTCTGTGCATCTTATAGAGTTTTTTTGTTTTTGTTTGATGCATAAAATGCATTATGCTTCAAACTTGTAAATTAAATTGAAGTCTTACATATATATTTTTTTTCACAGTTTTCATTAATTCTCTTGGTGGAAGGCCAAAACCTGTTTGGTGGGTGGAGACATTGCAGAAAAATCTCTGCGTGTGCTGTTTTGTTTTTGATTTTGTTTTAAATTTTGTTTTACAAAGTGCAGGAAAAAAAGTGTTTGAAAAAAATTTTTTGCAGTAAATGACAGCTGTCAAATTCTGCTTGCCTCCAATTTGCAGACTTTATTCAGCCACTGCAATAGCACGTCTTTGGGCTTTCCTGATTTTTCTTTCTTTCTTTTTTGTTGAAAATGAATGAAATTGATGGTTAAAAAAAACAAAAACAAACAGTCCACCCTGTTACGTTAAATTCAGCTGTTGTTGTTGCTAAGAGTTTAATTCCACAGGCTGTTTATCATTTACCAACACGTGCTTGTTTTTAATGTCCCAAATTCTAAACATTAGTGACGACAGTGTTGCAGCAGGAGTGTGTGCTTACATGCACAGGCTTAGCTGTTTGTGACTTCGTGTCTCACTCTCACTCTTGGTCTGGACTGCTGTGATTTGGACTCGGACTATTTAGTTATTTTTAACTTGCGGGGAGACTAGCTCTGGTTACGACTTGTATCGTTTCATTAGCCGAGCGCCTGACCGCCTTAACTGCCTCCTAGATCAGTGTGCTTTTCCACTCACCTTGCTGCAGTTTGATATCACATATCATCTGAAGGTACTAACAGAGCAGAAGAAGCTCATGGGGGAAAAAATGCACTTAGACAAAGCCTGTTCATTTCTAATGTGTTACATGAGAATATGTAGAACATGAGCTTGATATCAATGATTTCTATTGTTGTTTTTAAAACTGTCAGCCTGCCTGACCTGTGTCGCCCTGATGTGCTTATAACTTATCAATTAAATGATAACATGCTATAAATCAAGGTGTTCATATTCACTCTTAAGGTTATATTATGTTGTTTCAAATACATTCACATGTCTCATATGGATGTATTTGTATGCTTTCACAGTGACATGAAGAACGCTGTCATAGGAAACAACAAGCAGAAGGCCAATCTGATTGTCCTCGGAGCCGTGCCGAGGTATGAATCCCCGCGCCTCTCACGCTCTCCTGCTCTCTACTTCCTTCTTTAGGTCTTTGAAAAAGTCATTCTAATGCACTTACATGAAGCTGTTGGAACATGGCACGCTTACCCTCTTGTGTCTGTTCCTCCAACCAAATAAGTTGGACCACATTAAAAGCACTTATGGTGCTTTTGAATCCAGTTGTTTTGCAACCCCCAACCTCTTTGATATCATAACAGAGCATGAAACTCACCACAGTACATTACCCCAGCCATCCTCTGAACCCATTTGGTCACAGATACAGAGTAGATGGATACTTAAAAAAGGTCTGTTAGGGCCAAGTTTATTTTTACCCCCAGGTTCTACAGGCTGATGCCTGTTTTGTTGACAGTAGTATAAAGTTGTAGTTCATGATAATATGAAACTACAGCACAGTTGTTAAAGCTATGCAATATAACCTGGTAGTAAATTCTGCTATGTCTTACAGGTTATGCAGGGTTTGTTCTCATGTTGAACCGGCTCCCAGGTTGGAGTTGGGAAACAGACGTCCTCTCTAGGCAAAGGCTAGAAAAATAGGCTGCTGGGGCTTTATTTGTCTTTTTCCACTTCCTATGTATGGTTCTGCTGGAGGTTTCTTCCTGTTAAACGAGAGTTTTTCCTTTCCGCAGTGACAAACTCAGTGCTTGCTCATGGAGGGGTCATCTTATTGTTGGGATTTTCTCTTTATTATTGTAGGTTCTTTGTCTTACAGTATAAAGTGCCTTGAGGTGACTGTTGTGTGTTTAAGTGCTCTGTATATAAATTGCATTGGATAGAAGTGATAAGACTTTATTCAACTGTCTTATTACAAAACCTAGAGAAACCCTGACTGTGCTTCCCTCCTCTGTTGGCTCCAGGTTATTATACCTGCTGCAGCAGAGCTCGTCCAGTATGGAGCTGAGGACAGAGTGCGCCGTAGTGTTGGGAAGCCTCGCCATGGGCACTGAGAACAACATCAAGTCCCTGGTGGACTGTCACATCATCCCTGCCCTTCTTCAAGGTTGGGTCAAACACACACGCACACACAGATGTATGCAAATACTGTAGGTGACGTGAGATTACACGTACTCTGTGTGCTTGCAGGTCTCTTATCTCCGGACCTGGTCTTCATTGAAGCTTGCCTTCGATGTCTCAGAACTGTCTTCATCAGTCCAGTCACCCCTGTGCAGCTGCTTTATACTGTAGGTCGCCTTAAATGCCTTCTATACCACATGTGTAGACAAGTTTGGTCATGACAAGCGCAGAGTACCAGTCTCAGGTATTTGTTGTAGCAAATAAATACAGAACAGAGGCACTAATAAAATGTATTATTGGAAGAAATGCAGTGATTAATATGATCTGATTTGATTCAGAGTCTTATCAAATTCTTTGCCACACTCGTTAGCCTCTGCTGCAGCGGACGTGCAGCTTAGAGGTGTTAATTAAACCTCATGGTGGCACAGACAAGTGTGATTGTTCCGCTTGGTAGCAGTATGCTGTGTAAACACCTAAAGCAGTTTAAATGCAGCATATTGATTCTTCTCTGAAAGAAAATGGAATCAGTAATGTGGGGCGACTGTATCTGTCTCGCTGTAACCAGAAATCTACCAGAGCACCCATCTGTCATTTCCTTGTTTGAATAGCTGGCTAGCCAGCATATAAACTGTCTTTCTGTTTAAGCCTTTGCAGCCATCAAAGACTTTAACCATCAGCAGTTTGTTTACGCAAAGAGGATGGACACAGGATACCAACACTGGTGTCAGCTAGACACAAGCACGCAAACCATGTCAGATAAATGTAAATATACTCCAGTTGTATTAGTAAAATGAAGCTCTGCGTGGTAACCTGGTGCACCTAATTTTGAGATTTGAGTCGTGCAGTTGTTGAGGAAAAAGTCATTTTTATAACCAAAAACAACAAAACCCTGTTTACCCCTTCAAAGCTTGCTGGGAGTAGTCCTTGAAGCTCTCCTGGTCTGAGTGATTTCAGCCTGCTTACAAAACAAAATGACTGGTTTGCATCAAAAGTTAGTGATGAGTTAGTTAGTGGTGGTCTCTGACTATGCGGCTACTGTTGGAAAAGCCAAGAAACACTCCTGATTGTCGTCATACCGTGACTTTAGTGAGGTGTCGAAACTCATTGTTAGGGGCAAAGGAGAGGTTCTTAAATTTCATCTTTATGAGAGAATTAAAGAAAAGTTCAAAAGTATCCATGCTGTCATGGATACTTACTTGGTCAAACTCATAATCAGCAGGTCAGTCTTTAAAAAAAAACAAAAAAAAAACCATCACATTCTTTTATCTCCAACAGAAAGCATGAGGACAGTTTTAGTTAAAGATGTTACTCGCGACTATTTGACTGAAAGTTTAAAAAAAAAAGAAAGGAAAAATAAAAAGCATGTGTTAAACAGTCACTCTATTGTTAGCATTGCTAGCAGCAGTGGCTACCCTATTTGCAAGGTGCCGTGCAGAGTATGGTGACTCATCGCTCTTGTTGAGTGGTTGCGAGTGCGTTTCCTCTGACACAGCTGACATGGAACGGTTTATCTTTTACAAAGCACCACAGAAGTACCTGGGTGTTCACCTCAACAATAAACTGGACTGGACTACAAATACAGACATCCTGTATAAGAAGGGCCAGAGTCGACTCCACCCGCTGAGGAGACTGAGGTCCTTCGGAGTCTGCAGGACTCTGTTAAGGACATTCTATGACACTGTGGTAGCATCTGCCCTTTTATATGCAGTGGCCTGCAGGGGGAGTGGATGGAGAGGAGGATGTTAGTAAAGCTGACATCCATCATGAACAACCCACATCACCCACTGCATGAGTATGTGAGTGGGCTGAGCAGCTCCTTTAGTCAGAGACTGAAACACCCTCGCTGCAGGAAGGAGCGCTTTCGCAGATCATTCATCCCAACAGCAGTTAGACTCTGTAACCCCTCAATCACAAAGTCATAAGTCACTGGACACTGAACATCCACGGTCACCACTTCATGCATAATGGACCTTCCATGTGTATGGACATGTGCCGGTATATATGTATGTATATGTATACATATGTATATTTAGTGTGTGTGTGTGTGTGTGTGTGTGTGTACACATGTCTATAAATAGGAATAGTAGTGGTACAATAGTTATGTCAAGCTATATAGTTTGTCTTCCATATTTCCAACCATATCCATAATCACATACTGTGTATGCTACCATTGTATATAGTGCATTCTCTTACTTTTTTCACTGATTGTACTTATTTGTATTTTTGTATTTCCTTCTGATATCTGTACTTGAGCTGAGGTGACGCAAAAATGTCCCCGTTGTGGGATCAATAAAGTTTTATCTTATCTTATCTCTTAGAACTGAGATTGTCAGGAGTTTATTTTCACCCACCCTGTTTACATTTTCACATCAGAGATGGTTTAAAAGTTGACTATTCTTGAACATGATCACCCATTCTCTCATTGAAATGATTCTGTGTGTATGTTCTCTTTCGTTTGTTTTCTTTTTGAGGACCCCACTGTGATTCCTCATTTAATGTCTCTTCTGAGCAACTCTCTGAGAACCCAGGAGTACATCACCCAGATCTTCTCCCACTGTTGTAAGGTATTTGTTGGTATTTGATTGCCCATAAACACACTGGAGTCCATCACAGTGTCTCTGTTCAGACTGATCGATTGCTGATTTGAGATTTGTTGTGTTCAGACTCCAGAGCACCAGACGATCCTTTTCAACCACGGCGCCATCCAAAATATTGCCCCTTTGCTCATTTCACCCTCTTATAAGGTATAATGGGAGTGTGCATCTTTACCCCGTGTGACCATATGACCTTTGACACACAATACTCTGTAACACTCCATACATCGTCCTCTGTTCTCCAGGTCCGGATGCAGGCGTTAAAGTGTTTCTCAGTCCTGGCGTATGAGAACACTCAGGTCTCCATGACACTGGTGAATGGTGAGGAGCTTTTCTTCTTCTACTTTCTCTCGTCTTTTTCTCCTCTCATGTGCTTTTTTTCCTCATCAGTGCTGGTGGATGGTGAGCTACTCACTCAGGTATTTGTCAAAATGATGCAAAGGGATCAACCCATTGAAATGCAGCTAACAGCAGCCAAATGGTGAGTGGCATAACATTTATTTATTACTGAGTTATATCCTCTGTACCTTTTGTTTATTTGTGACCTCTTCTCCTGTTCCAGTCTAACCTATATGTGTCGAGCGAGTGCCATCAGGACAGACGATAGCTGCATAGTACTAAAGGTCAGATTTTTCCCACATGTTCTTGTGCCTCGCTTCATCATTTCTCTTGTGATACTCTACCAGTGGCACTTCTTTTTTGTTTTTTCCCCCTTAAATGTGACTTTTTGCTGCTTGTGCAGACCCTGCCATGTCTCGTGCGAATGTGCAGTAAAGAGCATTTGCTCGAGGAAAGGGTGGAGGGTGCAGAGACACTGGCCTATCTCATGGAGCCCGACGTGGAGCTGCAGAGGATCGCAAGCACCACTGATCACCTCGTGGCCATGCTAGCCGACTACTTCAAGTACCCCAGCTCGGTGTCTGCCATCACTGACATCAAGAGGGTGAGTTGTGTCTGTTCAGTTAAGCAGTTTTAATATTTATCTTTTAAAATGAGGAATCTCAGAGAACTTGATTGCATTGTTCATCACACGTCAGTTCAAGACGTTGCCACTGTGGCAACTTTTCATCCATCACAGGCTTTGTGACTTTTAGATTTCCCCTTCTCTAAGCTGCTCTCGATGAAACCAGCTGCTGGTCTAAGGTCTCCCACTGCCCCCATGAAATAGTGTTGTCACAAAACACACACGTATCTGTTTAAATATCCCATTATGCCCACAAGAGGGCAAACCAGTGCTGTGAAGAACACAGAACACTGTTCTTCAAACATGACCAACATGGCCCATTCAGTGTCTGCTGAGAGTGCAGTCCAGATTTCACAGTTAACGGCCTTCTAATTTGTTAATACAATTTTCATATAGATTTTTTTTTTTTATTAAAAAATGTGCTTACATATTGCACCACCTATTAAAAGGTTTGTATATATTTGACTTTGTGTGTAAATTCAAAGTTGTGCACTCACTTGTTGTTGTTTTTTAATGATGTAAGCTGCAGTCATTTCTTCCCTGGAACATAAAATAGTTCAAAGAAATCACTGAAAGCATTACCGTGGCATTCATGCCTACGATGAGTGTCAACTTTTGATCACAACTTTAAATAATTGAGTGTGAATTATATTTGCTGCAGGCACACCTGTGTATGTCTGCTCTGTTCAGTGAGCAGCTGATTTGCAGCCCGTGTGCTGAGTGAGAGGAAAACTAGTTGTGTAGCTATGAGTGATCACGTTTACATGTAAATTTAGTGTAAATCATAGCACAGCTGTGGTCTGTAAATTGTGTGTTTGGAGATTTTTGTCAGAAGATGCAGTTACGAAATGATTTGATTGCTGATGTTTTATAAACAACAATGAAGCGTAGCTAATGCTTCGACCATAGTCACAGTAAAGATGTGGACTCACTAAAAATTGGACCTGTGAATTGAAAGTCGGAGCATTAGAAAGTGCTGACAGTTTCCTTTTGGGATTATCAAAACTTCTTTTCTTCTGTGCGTAACAAATTTGATTGCATCCATTTGGCTCAATAGCGGGATTCTGATGAAAAGTTCAGGGGCTTGTAACATTTGTCTGTGAACCAACAAACTGAACTTGTGCTAATCAGTCTTATAGTTGTAGATGTTTTTCAGGGCATTTAAATATCTGCTGTCTGTGTCCCTAAAACATTTCCTTTCTTGTTTACTAAGACAAATTGAAGGCTGTTGAAATGTATTCCTTTTGCCCAGAAAGACTGTTTAGCTGTTCGATCACTCAGCTTTGACCCGGTAACCCTCAGATTGAGGTCATTCAGTTCCCAGGAACAAATACGTAATGCTGATAAACATATTTATTAATCATAAAATGGATCCTTCACCTTGAATAAAAAAACCTTTGTCACTTAATGTTCAGCAACAGTTCACTTTGCTGTCTTGCAGCTGGACCACGACCTGAAACACGCACACGAGCTGAGACAAGCAGCTTTCAAACTGTACGCCTCGCTGGGCTCCAACGATGAGGAGATCCGCAAAAAGGTGCCCTCTGGTTTACGTCTCTGTTTGCTTATGTAAACGTGTCATTATATGTTTCTGTGCTAACCCGGCCCCTCATGTTGGCTTTCAGATAACAGAGACGGAGAACATGATGGACAGGATAGTCAGTGGCCTATCAGAATCCAGCATTAAAGTCCGTTTGGCGGCTGTCAGGTATGGTGCAAAGTGAGACAGCTGCAAAGACTTGAGGAGGTTAGCACTAAATTTGAGCTTGGTAAAGTTAAAGTGGACCTGTTTTGGCATAGAAAGTTTTCCACTTTAGCCATTTTATTGCTTTTATGTAGATCTTTTAACAGGAAGTCATGTAGATTTGATTGAAATATTATATCCACCCTAATAATCCAATAAACAGTAATGAGCAAAATATTTACTGAACAGAGACGTCCTGCTTTAATGTTTGTTGCTTTCCTCGTGCTGTGCGCACTCATGCTCTGGATCAGATTCATGTCCAAACTGGTACGGATGTATTAGAGAAATTTGCCGTTTCTAATTAAGATCGATATTCTTAAAAGGTTTACAGCAGAGCCACAGCCTTTCGCTGCTTCTGTTTGGGGAAAACTAAGATGTAGGGCAACCTATCAGAATGAAGCTAGCTTAAGGGGGGCAGGACCTTAATGTAAAGGGAGCTGAAGAATTTAGTGTAATAGGTCCACTTGCGGTAATGTTTCCAATGTAACTACATTAGATCTCATACAGTTGTGTTAGAGAAAATGTTACATTACTTTTTAAATCATATAATTAGTATTAATTCTCTGTACACATTTAACCCTTTATGTCAGCTTGCTGTTGCACTCTGGAGGCCTGGCTTGGACCACAGTGGGATTTGCCTGTTGATGAGTAAAACCACAGGCAGTTTAATTCAGGCTCCGGTGCTGTTCTGGTACATTAAACCAAAGCTTTGACACACTGAATATCTCCATTAAACCACCTGTTTATATTTTTGTTTTGTCCTAGGTGTCTTCACAGTCTTTCTCGGTCGGTGCAGCAGCTGAGAACCAGCTTCCACGATCATGCAGTATGGAAACCCCTGATGAAGGTCACTGGAATTTGACGTTAAAGTTTTGTTTACAGCATATTTTCACAGCTATTTAGTGGAGCTCTGAGTTTCTCTACCTGACACATTAACGTCGAGCCTGTCTGCGATTGTGAGAGGAAATATCAACTAAGGTTGTGTGTTCTGTTGTACGCAGCTCTTGCAGAACGCCCCGGATGAAGTCCTGGTTATGGCTTCCTCTACACTATGCAATCTACTGCTGGAATTCTCACCCAGCAAAGAGGTACACTCATGGAGACACTCCGGGTTCTGAAATGAATCGAGTTTGCTGACACGTTCATCTCGTTGTTCGGCTGTTTGATTCACAGCTGTCCTAGTTTGGTACAATCTCACCGCTCACACAGCCTCGTTTTCAGCCACAGCAGAAAGCTTTAAAAACTGAGCAGGTGGAACATGTGCTGGTAAACACAGCAGGGCAGGTAGAAGCTCAGAAGCCACATTTCCCTACAGCAAAAGAGATTAAGTGCAGGTCTTACACCTACTCTGAGAAGGAACCCAGACTGAAGTGCAGAGAGAAGCGGAGAGAGTGGACGGCTGTGGTTGAGGGAGCGACACCGTGAATGACTAGAGGGAGTTGTAAAGCAGAGAAATTAAATGTTTTCTGATCGTCTGCATTCTGAAGCTGTAAACTCACTAACCCCTCCTCACAGCCCTGCAGGAAGAAGCTGCTTTTAACCAAAAAGCAGGCACACACGTCACACCTGCATTTCTGACACAGGCAAAGCACCAAAAAGAGACAAACCCGGCTCCCACATTTGTATAAGGTGTTTCTACAAGAGCTGATTATGAATGTAGGTAGGCAACAGCCCCATGCAGACAGTATTTGAGAGGAAATGCTCTGCAGACTGCACGACTGATGATGATGATGATGATGATGCCGTTCCTGATGGAGATGTTAAAAAATAGCTGTTTAGTAAAGTAACGTTTTCTTTTTTGTTTTTTAATTACTTTAATGTTGAGTCCAGTTGTCTTTGTGTGTCTGCAGCCCATCCTGGAGTCAGGGGTAATGGAATTACTATGCAGTCTAACCCAGAGCGACAGTCCTGCACTGAGAGTCAATGGGATCTGGGCCCTGATGGTGAGCTTTTATTTAATTTTTTTACTTTAAAATATTCCCCTCCACCCTTCGTCTGCACTGTAAAAGTGAGCTGCTGTGTTTGGCTTGATGTTAAAATATCCCGACTGACTACTTTGTGTGTTTGTGTGTTAAGAATATGGCGTTCCAAGCTGATCAGAAGGTGAAGGTGGAGATTGTTCGGTGTTTGGGCACAGAACAGCTGTTCCGCCTGCTATCAGACCCCGACACCAACGTGCTGATGAAGACCCTCGGTCTGCTGCGCAATCTACTGTCGCAACGCGCAGTGAGACACGCAAACACACACATGAACAGACATGAATAAGGCTGCAATTAAAGCTTTTTCTCTTTTGTTTGTTTTGGGGGTTTTTTTCATTGTTGGATAAGCTTTCGATTATTGTGTCGATTAACTGCTGAACACTCACCGGCTCAAATTAAATCTCAGATGGAAATCACCTCGTTCTGAGTCAAATTTCAAAGGCTTTGAATTTTTTTAAAGCACAAAACTTCACACTGAATCACATTGTAACTTAAATCAGTTTTATTGATATTACAACAACAGTCACAACAAAGTCAATGCTCTACAATAAGCAGTCAGATTAGTTTCTAATAGGAGTGGACAGATAAACGGTAGCGTGTTTCCTGTGGGACGTTGAACTCTTGTGATTTGGTGTAATGCACACTGTTTCTATTGTAAGTGAGTCGCTACAAACTACTAAGTGCTTTGAAGCTTTTGAGCTTTCTTAAGTATGAAAGAATCCATGAATGTTTGGTGAGATTTGTAGTCTTCGGGGGGAATTAAGCCCTCATAGGTTCTTTCAGGGCAAATTGGTCCTGGTTAGAAGGTCAGATTGATGAGTTTATTATAAAAACAGTGATTAAAGTCACATTCAAAGGATTAACTCATGCAGCACAGGGATACAGAGGCCCTCGATTTCGAGTCAGGCCTTGTAGTGGGGCTTTTTGGCAAGCGCGTGGCTGAGGGTCTGGCGCTTTGTAGGTCAGTTGGCGGTCCAATCTCCAGTTGCTAAAATGAGTGGATACAGTGTGGTAGACTAGTGCAGTGTCTGCATCGATACACTGTTGTAGTGAAAACAGAGTTGAGTGTGAAGCCAGACTTGTTGATCTGTGTTTCTACCCTTGCCTGTAGCCACAAGCTAAGGAAAAAGATCAGATTTAAGTGGTGGAAATGGGTTCTTCCTCAGAGAGAGCATGGGAAAACCCGGTCATTTAGGAGGAACTCTAAGTCAAGCTGGGCTCGATGGTCTGATCCTTATATTGGCCCTGTCTGCAGTCACAGATCTGATGGCAGAGGTAGTGTTCTCTGAATCACACAAACACACCAGGAGTTTTTTTTCTCACTTTCAACACAAAGACATGTTTACATACAACGAAAAACAAGTCAGTTTCTGATGTAGGTGTCCATCAGTACAATCTTAGCTCAGATTAGGGGCTCAAAAGGAGTCTGCTATTTTGGCATATGACTCTGTGAGTGAGGAATGTGAGGCTCCAACGCCAGAGAGACTGTCTCCAGTTCTGGTTCCCATTCATATCCTCACACAGGGAGCCAGTAGCTGGGTAAGCTTGGATAAGCACAAGAAAATTGATGCCTGGATACTAATGAATGAGTGTTAAGCAGCTACAACAGTTTGGTGTGTAGAGCAGCTTCCCAAATTCCACGGTGATGTTTTGTCCCATTACCGATCAAAACCTCTGTTCAGTTTACAGTAGAGCAGAGAAAGCTAATATTAATATTTCCCAGATAATATTTAAGATATTTTTAAAATGTGTACTGTTTGCTGTGGATACTTTGCAGTAATTATGAAATGATGTTGTTAAATGAATAAATAAATTTTAGCTTTCCACTGGTTACATGCAAATATTATCGTGACTATCGTGCTGCGTCAGATTCGATATCAACAAAATCCACTTTCACAAAAGAGTCTAGTTTATGCAACAAATGTACTGCTGCTGTTTGTGAACTGCTCTTAGGTGGCCCATATGTCATAGGCTACGTTCACACTGCAGGTCTTAATGCTCAATTCCGATTTTTTTTGATCAATCCGATTTTTTTTTTTCTCTGCTTGTCCACACTACAAATAAAATGTGACAGCAGACGCGCTCTAGTGTGAACCCTCAAAGCGGCTCGCATGCACAAAAGAAGACGACACACACAACGCGCTCTGTTTAGACCCAGAGCAAACAGGATTGTTTGACTGATGGACCTTAATATAAAGACTTGTTTCAGACTTTACGTTTCCCAATTTTGCTTTATGTTATTTTGTCATTTACAAATGGCCTAATAATTATCCTTATTGCTGTTTTAGAGAGGAGCAGTGCTTCAAAGGATAGTTGCAGATTTCTGTCAGAATCTGCAGATTATACAGTATAAATAAAATGTTCACGTTTCTCCAACGTTGTCTTCCAAACAGTTTCACTGGATGGCCAGGAAGCATTCGCGATGTCTTCTCTGGCGCTGATAATTGGCGTCTGTCTTGTGTCAGTGACATAAAAGACGGATTTAATGCGACATGACCGTTCAAACAGCAGTCACTTTCTAAAACATCAGATATGTATCGGATTCAGTACCACATATGAAAGTGACCCAGGTCGGATTTGAAAATATCGGATTTGTGCTGCTCCTCCTTGAATCGCTACCTTATCGTGGTGGAGGGGTTTGTGTGTCCCAGGGATCCCAGGGGCTATGTTGTCTGGGGG